ACAGTGCAAACTCTTAGGGTATTTTCCAAAAAGGAAGTTTAAAATGTCATTCACTTAAACCACAGGATTGGTTTAAATTTTCATGTCTTCATTCTATAGGCTAATGATAGCTTATGAAAATACTGTATCTAATTATTTAAACTTTATCATAGTTATCCTGTATAGGATTTCTGAGGAGTGGCTGGTGAGTTTGAACCACCACAGACCTTGTGGTTCAAACTGACCTTGTAGTCCAGTGCTAAACTTTCCTTTGTTGTTATTGTTATTAAGTGCCTTTGAGTCAGTCCTGTCTCATAGCAACCCTGTATAGAGTTTCCAAGGAGTGGCTGGTGAGCTTGAACCGCCAACCTTGCGGTTCAAACCAACCTTGCAGTCCAGTACATTAACCCACAGCACCAGTCCAGGACTCTCTAGGACTTTCCCTAGGACTCTTTTTATTATCAGTTTTTACTTTATTTGAAAGGAGCTCTGGTAGCATAGTGGTTACGAATCGGGCTGCAAACCTTAAGGTCAGCAGTTCAAAACTACCAGCCGCTCAGCGGGAGAAAGATGAGGTTTTCTACTCCCGTAAAGATTTACACCCTCGGAAACCCTGCACAGGGTCGCTATGGGTTGGAACCGACTCGATGGCACTTAACAACAACAGCAACTTTATTTAAAGGGTTAAGAGCTAAGTTTAAGTGGGTGGGGAGTGGTAGAGGGCATTCTCTTTAACAAGTGGTGGTGGTGGTTGTGTACTGTGGGGTCAGTTCCAATTCATAGCGACCCTTTGTAGGGTTTCCGAAGCTGTAAATCTTCACGGGAGCAGAAAGCCTCATCTTTCTCTGCTAAATGACTGCTGCCTTGAGGTTAGCAACCCGACTTGTAACCCACAGGGCTCTTTTCTTTAACAAACACTATCTATGAATCCTATGGAGTCCTAGTGTGATGCTGTAGGATAAGCACTTGACTGTTAACTGCAAAATCAGAGGTTCAAACCCACCATTCACTCCTCAGACACCCTATACAGGGTCGCTATGAGTTGGAACTGACTGAAAGGCATTTAGTAACAACTATGAATCAGGCACTAGGGAACAGAGAAAATAAGATACCAATGTGACTTGAAATATTTAAGATTCTAATAGGAGAAACCAACATATAAACCAATACAGTTGATTCTTAACAATGCAGGGATTGGGGCACCAACTCTGTACAGCAGAAAATTCATGTATAACTTTTGACTCCCCCAAAACGTAACCACTAATAGTCTCCTGCTGACCTGCTACTTTATCAATAATATATTTGTATATGTATTATTTACTGAACCCATATAAAAACTGTATTTTCAGTATGAGATAAAAAGGTGTTTTGCAAGATGTATGTGTTTGCATATGCTGGCATAACTGCAGTGGTGGTTTCAAGAATTTGCTTTTTTTTTTTTTTTTTACAATGGCTGTTACACTGGATTCATTTGTTTTGAAGTAGTGGGCAACAGTAGCTGCATTATCAAGCAATTCAACCTTTTCTTGCAATGTCATGAATTTTCTTTTCTCTGTCTTAGGAGCACTTCCAGCATCACTAGTGGCACTTCATATGGGTCCCAGGGAGTTATTCGAGGTTTTAAGAATTGCACTAAACACGATACGTAAGAACAATGAGAGATCACTTTTTACTGTAATACGCAATTTACTGGAGCGATAAACTGCTCCTGCAGAGATGATAAGTATTACACAGCGTTAAAAAGACATCTACATGTAAGTGTACCAATGCAGTTCAAGCCTGTGTTGTTCAAGGATCAGCTGTACTTACATTGCAATGTGATATGTGCTATTCAGAAGACGTTTCACAGAGGAGGAAGGTCTCAAGACGTTTGGGGTAACCATGGAAAGCTTCACTAAGTAAGTGATTCTTGAGCTAAATTATGGCTTGTCTGTCAACAAGGGGTGGAAGGACATGCCAGACTGAGTAAAGAGTGTAAGCAAAGGCAAGAGGCATAAAAGAACACAGTATGCTCTGGAAATAACAAATAGCTCAGTGGGGAGAGAGCCTTGTGGGTGTGAAAGAACAGGATGAGATAAAACAGGAAGATTAGGCAAAAACCAGATTGAAAGAGTCTGTGAGTCAAGCTAAGAAGTTTAGACTTTAACCTACAGGAAGTCTAGAGTTACTGCAGAATTTGAAGCAGAGCAATTTTTCCTTAAAAAACATTCCTCAGGCTGCAGTGTGGTGGATGGATTGGAGATAATAGCAGAGAGCTGTTAAACCAGTTAGGAGGCTTTTAGGGTAATTAAATGAGAGATGATGAGGTCTGGAATGAAAGTAAAGGATAGTGGAGATGATGAGGGGGCATGAATTAGGGCCTTCAGAAAGGGACCCTTAGATATGGGAGCTGAGTCTGAATTGACTCCACAGCAATGTGTTTCATTTTAAATATGGGAGAGAGGGAGTCCTGATGTGGCACTTGACCACAAAGTCGCTTTGAATCATAAGGTTGGTGGTTCAAATTCACCAGCCTATACAGGGTTGCTTAGGGTGGGAACGAAATACTGCACTTAACGACACCACCAACGGGAGAGAAAAGCCAAAAGTTGCTTTGTGGTTTTTAGTCTGGCTGACTTGAGGAACAGTTGTGTCATCAAATGAAAAGGGAAATGCTGTATGTTTCTGAGAATTATCTCTAACCCCTTCTATTTCCCAATGAACATTTTACCAATTTCTGCCAAGTCCTTGTCAATCTTCTCCATCCTCCTAATTATCCTTTACAACTACCAAAGTCATCTTCCTAAAGCAGCTCTATTTATATATTGCTAAGGACTCCAAGGCACACAACAACAACAACAACAACAAGGAGCTCTGGTAGTATGGTGGTTACGAATCAGGTTGCTAACCTCAGGGTCAGCAGTTCGAAACTACTAGCTGTTCCATGGGAGAAAGAGGAGGCTTTCTGCTCCTGTAAAGATTTATAGCCTCGGAAACCCTGTACAGTTTCGCTATGAGTGGGAACTGACTCCACGGTACGTAACAAGTTCAGCTCAGAAATATTTGACTGACTCCCCGTTACCCTCTCCAGACTGCATCAGAAGGAAACCTAAGCTTAAGTAGAGCATTTAAAGATACAAGCTGCCTCTTAGATACCTTTGTTGTTGTTAAATGAGGGTGGCGAGTAGGTTCCTACTCATAGTGACCCTGTATAGCGTTTCCAAGCAGCGGCTGGTGGGTTTGTACCTCTGACTTTGTGATGACCAACCAGTCCGTATACTGCTTGATAACCTTTATTTCCTTTCCCCACCCTATATATTGGGGTTGCGGTGGCTCTGCATGGTAAATACAGATAAGGCCACCAGACTTTCTGCTCCAATAAAGATGTTGTGAAGTGCCATCGAGTCGATTCCGACCCATAGCGACCCTGTATAGGGTTTCCAAGAAGTAGCTGGTGAGCTTGAACCGCCGACTTTGCAGTTCAAACGGCTTTTCAGTCTGGCGCATTAATCTATAGGACTCAGCCTAGAAATCCTCTATAGGATGGTTATGAGTTGGAACCGACTGATGTCATTTAACAACTACAATCCTGTATTTCATCTGCTTCAAAAATCAAGCTAATCTTAGTTCCTTTAACAGATCCTGTCATTTCACACCTCTAAGCCTCAGTTTGGAGTTCTGTTGTGGCTCTGCGGGTTAATGCACTGGACTACAAAGTCGGTTTGACCTGCAAGGTCGGTGGTTCAGTCACCAGCCACTCCTAGGAAACCCTATACAGGGTCACTATGAGTCAGAACTGACTTGATGGCACTTAACAACAACAGGCCTCAGCTCATGTTATTTTCCATTTGAATGCAGCACTTTCTGTCAATCTGTTTCTGCCAAAATTCTACCCAGTGCTATGTCAGCATCTCCACAACGCTTTACCCATTTTCTTAATCAAAATTATTTCTCATCTGTGGTTCATAGACTTTAGTATTTCAATCGTAATACTTTTGGTGTTCTGTCTGGTTTTCTAGATACTTGTGTGTCGGTATTACTTCTACTTCCTTGTCCCAGTGACTTATTGCACAGTATGGGTTCAAAATGTTTTTTGATGAATTAACCTGGGGCCGGGATCTGATTCCTGTCCCGATGATTCAAAGTTTAGCAGACAGTCTGGAAAATCAGGCGATTCTGCTAACCCATTACATCACCCACGGGAGAAACAAAAAAGAGTCTAGAGGAGTCACTCGTCTCTAGGGGGCCCTTTCTCTGTCTAGAACAATCGTGACAAAAGGTGGGAGCAAAATAATTTGCTGTCAGGGGAGTATAGCTTCTCCAAACAGTTGCAAGATGCCTTTACTGTCGTTGTTACAAACCTTATACGCACTGTGCTTTAAGAAGATCTAAGGGTTTTAAGATTTCCTAAGGAGAAATTGCCCAGTGATGGGTGTCCTCCTCCTGAGGTCAGCTGCACTGACCATTACACAGTGTACTCGGGAATGGATAAGACACACAGAAAAAAAGGCTTTTGGTGTGTCCCCGGTGTTGGACTGCAGTGTGGCCCCGAGGGCCGCCGCCCCCTCACAATCCCTCCCTCGCCTCTGTCTTGTCTCCTTCTCGCCCCTGCGGACTCGGCCCTCTTTTCCTCCCCTTCCTCCCCGCCTCCCCGCCTCCCCAGCCGCCTCCACCGCGAACGGTCATATTCCCAGAGGTTCCAAGGGAACTCCCGCACGTCTGCGCGCGCAGTCCCCGGGACGGCGGGTCCTTGTAGCACGCGCAATTGCCTTGGAAACCACTGCGCGCGCACGCGCAAAAGCAGGGTGGGAGGAGGCGGAGAGAAGCAAACAGCAACGGAGGAGGGCTTTATCCTCTCATTTGACCATCGCTCCGGGGGGCTGGGCGCGCGCGCGCGCCGCCGGTCTCCCTCTGGCGGAGCGTCCTTTCCAGCACGCGCCTGGTTAGCGCGCTCCCTGGCCGCCCTCCCCCGCCTCACTCGCACCCTTGCCCTCCTCCCGCATTTGTGCGCCGGTGCAGCAGGCAGCGGGAGCATCCGGGCATTTCCGCAGTCGAGCAGCGACTCGGGCGGTGGCAGCGGTCGAAGAACTCCCATGGCAGGGAGGAGGCGCTGGGGAGGCGAAAGAAGGGCGAGGCGTTAAGCCGGAGCCGCCGCGGGGTGGGTCCCCTGGGAGGCGGAGGGGGAAGCGGCTCTCGCGGCTGGAGAAGGGCCAGGCGCGGGGCTTGTCTCCCTTCTCGCGCCAGCCCACGCTCCGGAGATGCATCTGCATCAGGTCCTCACCGGGGCTGTCAACCCTGGAGACAATTGCTACTCCGTGGGCAGCGTCGGGGATGTTCCCTTCACGGTGAGCGGCGGCCGGGAACCCGAGGGGGCGAGTCCGGGCTTCGGGCGCGGGGGCCGAGACCCCGCCCCGGGCCCACATCTTCTCGGGGGACTGCCAGGGCTTGGTGGGCCCCACTCGCGCCCCATTTGCAGCCTTGAGGTTTGTTTCCTCTCGGGACCTCGAGACTACGTGTCCTGCGACTGCTGTGAGGGAGGTGGGGGGTGGGGGGGAGCCTGTCAGATGGAAAGGATTAGGTAGCAGTCCACCGCGCTGTCGCCCAGGTGTACAGGCTCTGGGGGTGACTGGAATAGAGGCTCCTGGGTCCACGGTGGAGTAAGGTAGTTGCAGTGTCGAAACTCCAGGGCGTCTGTTTCTGCACCTGCTCTCAGAGTGGAGGGGATGAGACTGGTCTTCCCCTCCGAGCTTGGAGGCTTTCTTTCCTGTGCCAGGGCAGCGAGGAGCTGCTGTATTCGGTAGCTTTAAACCTGACCTTCTGTATCTCCTAATACTCCGTCTTATTTCCGACAAGAAGAAAAAAAAGATCCTGTACCCCGGAAAGATTTAGACTGTGGCATGGAGAGAGATCTTATTCATAACGTGATCATAGTTTGGTAACCCTTGTAGGTAATATTTTAACCTGTTTGCAAGGTAGGCTTATTATTACTTTTTTTTTAAACCAAGGCAGTGGCATCTATCGCAGAGTTTTACTTGTTTGTGCTAGTAGAATGTATGTAAATAGCGTTTTGAAACCCCATTAAAATCTACATGAAATAGACATGTTTTTCAACTAGGTTGTACAATCCTTTTTGGGAATGGGATGTTGTTACCATAGCTAATTGAAGCCAAACGTTAGAGCTTCTTTTACCACAGTGCTGTGGGTTGACATAAGTTCTTTTTTTCATTAAATTTATACATAGCTCTTCTTAGAAAGAACTGTGTACAACTAGATCTTTATTAAATGCACAGTGTTATTGATACCCATTGGAAACAGCATGATATGCATTTTGTTGTTGTTGTTAAGTGCCATCGAGTCGGTTCCGACCCATAGCGACCCTGTACAGGGTTTCCGAGGGTGTAAATCTTTACGGGAGTAGAAAGCCTCATCTTTTAGACAAGGAGAAATACTTTGATTTGACATCTCCTTTCCAACTGCATGGTTTGAAAACTGCAGAAATTAAAATGCTCCAGGAAAACTGCAGAATCATGGAGCACAGAATTAATTTGTCTTTTAATGTTTTGTGATGCATTCCGACACGGAATTAATTTGTCTTTAATGTTTTGTGATGCATTAAAAATATCTGTACAAGATTGCTTTATGGCTATTTTAATCTTAAATGTCAACAACTTGGCTTTGTCCCAGTTTAAAATGAACCTTTTAATAAAGTAGGATTTGCCTAATTTATGTTGCTACACCTATTGCTCTTAATGGAGTTATCTGTGTTTTGTTTACATGTGACTTAAGTGATTCACATAGAATTGAACTTGAACTTCATAGATGTCCAGAATAGTTGGGGGATAAATAGGGAGAAGAAATTTTCCTTTTCTCCAGTTGTGTAGGTGAGGGGAAATTCCATAGATTTAAAAAAACAGATTATCTTCATCAAGAAACACATTGTATTGGAACCTTGGGTTCTGGGATAATTTCCTGCCATCGTGGTGGCTGACTGCTTCCATCTAAAGTGCATAGGTGTCTTACTCTGGACCTGCTATACAGAGATGAACAGACGCAGATGCAGTCTGGAAAAGCTAGTGCAAGAATTGATAGTGCTGTACTCCTGTGGTTGTTTGATCGGTTACCCATGTCGAGGTCATTGGTATCATTTTCTATTTCTATCTCATCTAAGTCAGCCTATTTCCAGGTCTAGTGGATTCTCTGCAGTGTCTGTCAGATTTTCCCCTTTTCATGTCCTTCTTGTTAAGTGCCATCGAGTTGGTTCCGACCCATAACGACCCTGTATAAGGTTTCCAAGGAGCAGCTGGTGAGCTTCATGTCCTTAGTTACTACTTTGTTGCAGAATCTTATCTACCTCATTAAAGTATAAAAATCTTCCAAGTGGCTATCCTGGCACTCAGCTCAGATCACTTTAATTCATCCTCCGCCCATCTGCTAGGATCATTTTCTTCTCAGACCATTCTCACCTTATCACTGTTGTTGTTAAGTGCCATCGAGTCGGTTCCGACCCATAGCGACCCTGTACAGGGTTTCCGAGGGTGTAAATCTTTACGGGAGTAGAAAGCCTCATCTTTCTCCCGCAGAGCGGCTGGTAGTTTCGAACCGCTGACCTTAAGGTTCGCAGCCCAATTCGTAACCACTACGCTACCAGAGCTCCTTAGCTCAAGAATATATATAGTTGTATTTAATAACTGTCTCATAAAATTTAAACTTGTTAAGCATCCTCCTGCCATTTAAAATTTTACTTACTCTTCATTTTGGCCTCTGTGCTATACAAATACTGACCTTACTGTAGCCTGCATTTCTCCTTTGGAATAAGAGAATCCTCAGTTTTCATCTTCCCAGTTACAACTCACATTTTACCTGGTTTAGCATGCCTCCCCATGACACTCATTACTTTGACCCTATGACACTTCCAAACTCATATTGCATGTTATCTCATGCCAATAAATTCATTTTGAATACATGGACTAGAAATGACTTTTTGTGCTACATGATAAACCAGTTAGATGTACTTAAGAAAATGAGAGCAAGCAGCGTTCAGGTACTCCAGAATCAACTAACAAGTATTTGAATGCCTTCATTTGCATAGTGCTTTACAATACTTAAACAATACTGGCCGTGTAGTGGGTGTAGTGGGTTAAACATTAGGCTGCTAAGGAACCACCAGTGCTCTGCGGGTGGTTCTGTTGGTTCCTGTAAAGGTTTACAGTTCCAGAAACCCTAGAGAGCAGTTCTGCTCTGTTCTATAGGGTCGCTGTTGAGTCAGAATCAACTCAGTGGCAGTGGGTGTTTTAGGTTTTACTGTGCATAGCGTTTGATCCTTGTAGTAAATAGATTAGACAAAAATAAATAAATAAAATAACCTGATGTTCTGGGTCAGATGACTAGAGAGGAAACCAGGCAGGACTGGAATGGAGGTCATGTGACTTCTGAAGTGATGGGCCTTTCTTTGTAGCGTACTTCCTTCCTAGCAGAGTGCCTGCTTTGCTCTGCCTACATGGGAGAGGTATCTGTGGTTGTGTTTCACGATAACCTGAGGACCTTTTCAAAATAGCAGAGTTTATTTATTTTGGAGTCTATTAATGAAAAACTTTTAAAGACTAGAGTGTTTGAAAAGGATTTTGAATGTCATGATGTCATAAATGCGTGTGTGGTGGTGGGGGTGTGTGATTAGCTGGGCTGTGAGTGACTGGTGAAGGTCACATGACCCAGTCTGTTATGTTGATGTGGTACAGCTTGTAGTGTACAGTTGAAATCATGGTATATGGGTTTAGTGGTAACATGAGAACTATGATGGTTTTCATTTGTTTGTGTTTTGACCGTTAACTTGATAGTGATTTTTAAAATATGGTATATGTCACATTTTAAAATATCGCTTTTTGACCATTCTGTACTTTTTGACTGTTTTCAAGTGTATGGGGCCAGTTAGCATTATTTCAATCTAACAAATTTAGTACATTGATCAAAATTTACAGAAAGTAGTAAGTCATTTTCACTGTTGTTGTTAAGTGCCGTTGAGTTGGTTGTGACTCAAAGGGACCCTGTATAGGATTTCCAAGGAGTGGCTAGAGAGTTTGAACAGCCGCCCTTGTGGTTCAAACCAGCCTTGCTGTCCATTGATGTATCCCACAGTGTCACATTTAGGGAGTTTGTAATATACTGGCAGAAATGTAAAATGGTGCAAATAGTTATAGCATATGGCAGTTGGAAGAGATTACATGTAATTTGTAAGGTAAGAAAAGGTTGCACAGAAGACTGGCATTTGGAAAGAGAGAGAGGTGTCTGGGCTATTTGGATGGTGAGAACAACCCAAGCCAAGCAGAGGAGTGATACAGAGAATAAATTATTGGGTGAGGCATTAAGCTCCTTGGGAAGCCCTTTCCAGGGTCTTATGAGTTGGAAGGACTTGATGGTAATTAATAACAACACAAAGAGCCCTGGTGGTACAATGGTTAAGTGCTAGGCTGCTAACCAAAAGGTTAATGGTTTGAACCCATCTAGCTACTGTTCAGGAGAAAAAGACCTGGCGAACTGTTCCCATAGAGATCACAGCCTAAGAAACCTGTGGGGCACTTCTACTCTACACTCAGTAGAAATGGACTCAACAGCACATAGCAATCTCTTCACAAAAGTTTGTTACTGTATTTTTTTAAAGCACAAAACTTTTTATGGAACAGCATACACCTTTAGAATGCTAAAAATATATTACTATTGTTAATTTGTTTTGGCTTAAAGTACCACCAGCAGATTGGTAAATGAATGAAAAATGAATCATTTGGAAATTAGAAGATAATCTTATCTGACTTCTTTTTCTGGCGTTGAGATCTATTTTAACTCTCCTGTTGTGTGATATGGGGAGCCCTGACAATGCAGTGGTTACAGTGCTCAGTTGCTACCTGAAAGGTTGGCTGTTCAAATCTACCAGCCACTGCAGAAGAAAGATGGAGCAGTGTGCTTCGTAAAGATGATTGCCTTGGAAAACGGGAACGCTATGAGTCAGAATCGACTAGATGGCAATGTGTGTTTATTTATTTATTGTTTTCTACTAATAGTACATTTCAATCCTTCAATATGGCAACACCAAACTTTGAAAATAATCAGCCTATTTATACATCATTTAACAAAGTTAGATGAAAATATAGGTGTGGTAGACTCTGTGGGAATTTAAAAAAACAAACACAAAAAACCCCCCAAGAAGATATAGTTTTGTTTTCAGAGTTGTTGTTGTTAAGTAGTAGGGGAGCCTGGTAATTTAATAGGAGAGCAAATAACTGCACTTAACCACAGCAGGCAAACTGTGGTATTGTTAGATGTTGTTAAGTGCTGTACAGTTGATTCCGACTCA